TTTTCAAAGTAGCCTTTAGGAGAGTAGGAAGAGAATGGAGAGAGGCTTAAACCAGTGAAAGGATCCGGTCTTGGTAAGAGCACCATCAGTGGTGCCAACAGCTGCTGGGGAAGAGCTAGAGCTAAACGCTGGCTGAGAGGAGGGCATTAAAGAAGGGGGGAATATGGGCTGCAGAAGGTTTGGGGTGGGACTGGAGGGGAAGATGTCCCAACAGTAATGGTAATGGCAACAGTTAGAGATGAGGTTTAGGATGAGTGAGACAGGATCCAGAGAGTGGCGCTAGGAACGAGCAGTTGAATATTTGGCTGTGAAATCTCTAGAAAAATGAAGTTGTTTTTCTGATAGCTATTCAGGATCCAAAAAGTATGACAGTACCATTCTTTGTTTTCTTGCTTTTATAACTGTGTAATCTAAAAACTTGGCTTCTGTTTTGTGGTTTTTTAGCATCTGCCCTTTGTGAGATATTTTGCACAATGTAGCCTTCAAAATCTTCCTCCTGTTTATTACTACCTCTGCCCTTTTTTTTCCCTTCCAAATGTCATCTATTTCATTTGAGAATTGTACCCTGGGGTGCTTCAATTATGTATGAATGTGGAGTATTTGGGATGTGCTATTCACAAGTGCTTTCAGTTTGCCATCTGAGCTTAGAATATCTGTGGAATCGCTAATATTTTACTTTCTAGGGCACTCTTAAATGTGCAGTCAGGATGCAGCTTTTGTTCCTAAGTGCTCGGTTTTTTTTACCCAGTTTCTAGCGAGACCTTACAAACCTTCCACATGAATTTTCCACAGACTAAATTCCCAGCACAGAGCAAGGAGATTCCTGTTGGCACAGATGTCTACCCTGAGACCTTCCATCCTTTTGGTGCCCCTCTCTCCAGCGGTCCACCCCTTTAGTCTGACATACTTAGTCTGAGTTTCTGAATGACAGGTGATTGACTTGCCTCTCATCTGTCAACATGTGAAATCTCCTGCCCAGAAATGTGATGTCTTTTCTGATTGCCTCTGTGTGGGTAAAAGTGACTTTCCAGAACGGTTTGCGCTGGTTTTCTTCTTTTGGAAGAGCTCAGCACAGTCTTCACCCATACGCTGTTGCTTGGGCATTCAGGTACAGTGATGGATACCTACTTTTGCATTTGTGATGGGAAGAGGCAGAAGCAGTTGTCGGTGGAAGGAAGGATAAGCCAGAGACTGTGAAGGTCTTATCTTACTGTCAGGCTTTTAAAGGGAAGAAACTGTTAGGATGCTGCATGGAGACTGAAGGCAGACGAGAGGAGGGTTTGAGGGATGAGTTAAATGGTGTGAGAAGAGAGAGCTGGTATTGTGCACATGGGATTGAAACACGCTGGATTGAAAGTATCTGGTGCAGTAGGGCTGCACTAGGCAGAGAGATGGCAAAACTGAACGTGTAGCTGTTCTGATAAGAAACAAATAATTGAGGGATGACTAGAGAAAGCTCCATTTCTGTCCCAGCACTGCAGGATAAAGACCTTCAGCCTGTAGTTGCCTCCTAAGACAGATAATGTCACATCTGTAGAAGTTATCCCATTTGGTGCTGTAGACTGAATGGATCAGTAGCCGTTAGAAAAAGATACACAGTAGAAGTGATCTGTGCAGATATTCGAGAAGCATTGCTTTGACTGTCACCCACAGAAGCAGTGGATGTTGCTGCCAACATCTCCATCTGTTGTCCAGCAGCAGTTGTCGAGCCTGTACTTCCGACGACATTTTGCTGTTGGAGCACATGGAAATGGCAAAAAGCTCTAACGCTGTCACAGGGCAAACCAGAAGCCCTGGTGAATAATTTAACAAACATTTTTGGGGAGCAGGTTCTGACTGCGCCTGTGAAGGTCTTGCAGCCAATTTCTGGCAACTCTGCTTTTTCTGCAGACTGCTAACTGTTAAATACCACTTCCAATGCATTACAGAACAGGGGGTGGGGAATGCTGTGGGCTTCAGTAGGCAGGATCTTAATGATATGAGGTAGAATGAAATAAGTTGGATGAGAGGACAGGAGAGGCCATATGGGATCCTAGGCACTTGCAAGGATATTTGAAGCTATGCCTTTGCCAGTTGTCTGTACCCAGCCACTGTTTCACAGCAGCCTTGATGCCTTCCAACATTATGCTGCCATCACCCATCTTCCCAACAGAACCGAGCATGATAAAGCTTTGAATGATGCTTCTCCAAAATAAGAAAAATTGTGCCAAGAACAAAAGCTATGCTTGGATAGGCAGGAAAATGCCCAAGGAGAAAGAAGTGTGATATGTTTAACATTGGAGGAGGGAAAGTTCAGTAGTGGGTATGGATATTTTGGTAAAGGGCATTGGGGAGGTGAACAGAGCAAGGGGGGATGAGAATCACAAGATGGCCATTACAAGGGCCCTCAAGATAGAGGGGAGCGCGGAGAGAGGGTGCCAGCTGCACAGGGAACTCTGTTAACAAAACCTATGGAGTATGTAGCATCCTAGTAGGAAAACAGCAATCTCAGTAGCCAGTTGCGTGTGGGCATGCACTTTAAAGTAGCTGCTTTCAGACCCAAACCAGCCCTCGGAGCGGGACCAATTGGCTCACCAGCAGCCTGTCTCATCCCTTGGGGGATATTCTTGGGGGAACACGAAGTGAGCATGGAGCAGGAGAGACTCTTGGTTGGCTAATACTTACTGCAGTAGGGCAGGGAAGGTGTAGGACACTTCCCTAGACTTAGGGATTCCTGCTTTGTTTTCAGCTCACCTGCTAATCCAAGGTCGAAACTAAGCTGTCTGCATCTTTTGTCTCTACTGCCGTGTCTGTAGATTTTAAGGTCTTGATGTGCGGTCTCTGTGCTGACATACTAGTAACCTAATCTTAATTTTGATGCCAATAATCATGAAATTCCTTTGCTTTAAATTTGTAACAGTCTGCCCTTTGCATGTGTTCTACTGTTAAGCTGCTCTCTTGAGCCCTGATTAATAACCTAGATGACTTACTGTAATTAGCTAGTCCTCAGCCTTAGCATTAGGGAAAGCACAAATCTGACAGCTTTCAAAAGTGATTAGAGCATGGTCAGGGAGTCTACAAACATTCCTACCTTTGTCCTCACCTGGAAACTGTTTCTATCAAAAAAAGGTTTTGTTTTTTTTGTTGTTTTTTTTTTTAAGATAAATAACATATATTTAAGACTTCCTTTTACTATGTTCTGTACTTCTTTTTTGAATTAGTATGTATTCATCCTTGTACCAACTTTGTTCTTTAGCATGTCAATTACTTCAAAATACAAATTATGTCTCATTTCTCAGAGATTTCATACACAACACATTCCTCTGGGGTCTGTTCCATGATGCATGAATTGCTAGGGCATATTACATTAATATGTGTAAAATACCAGTGCTGGTAGATACACCATCTAAAATAGGGAGAAGCTATTTAATTGAATTTTGTTCCCCTCTAAGATCATGGAGATATAAATTACTGGGAGCCCTACTGCAAACACGCGAGCATTTTTGTTCTCTGAGCGTTGTAATGAACTTTCCTTTATGAAGGAGTGTGTTGGTAAGAGAAACAGATACAGATACAGGAATGCAGTGCTGCGTGTTCTGGATGGCTGAGGTCTCAAGCAAGTTTAACAAAAGCTCATTGTGTATACATCGCTCCAACAAACAAGGCAAAAATCCTTTTCCCTGCCCCTGAATACTGAGCAAGTTTCAGCTTTTTCTCTGATGGGTAAAATCTTCTGGAATTGCTAAGAGATTTGAGTGTTTCAGAGCCAAAGTCACAAAGGCAGGCCTGGGCAAATTTTTTAGAAAATTTGCGTTTGTGTGTATTTTTAAATCTTTGCGAAGTTCCATGGTGTTACAGTGCAGTTTGAGTGACTGTGCACAGTGTCTTCTGCTTCTCATTTCTCTTTCCAGCAGGTTATTTCTGCTGACTTTTAGAACAAGATGAAGGTCAGATGCCTGGTTGATTTTAATAGGTGTTCAACTTTGGTGAAAGTTATACTTGTTAAATACGGTCAGTGAAATAAAATCGAAGGCTTCTGTACAAAGGAGGGGTTATGTGCTTTCTCCCTCTGCATGACAATGCAAAGACTCATCTTCTGGAGGGATCGCTTGCAGGAATGGAGGAATAGCTTTGCTTCAGCGCTCTTTCAGTTGGTGGGTATACTAGCTGGACTGTGTTTGGTCAATTATAGTCACATTACTAAGGGATAAATGTTCCTGCCCTCTAACACAAGCATGTACGTCCGCCTACGGATGATGGTGACAGCTCTCTTGAAATGCACAGCATTGGGGACTGCACAGTAGACAGCTACATGCTAAAGCTACTGCAGCCTGCTACAAATGAGCCAGGCATTTCCCTATTAACAGCGGCATATTGCGCTGTACCTGCTTCAGTCTGTTTTGGTGGGTTGTCTCCAAATCATGATCTAAGTAAAGGATCTAAGAATTAGCACTGTGCCTGGAGAGTTTGATGAGGATGTTCTGGCTGGCTGGGTATGTGTATTGCTGGTTCCTCTCATTTATGGGGTGCACACGCACTTGTGTTGCAGCCTAATGGTCACTGCCAACAGAAATAAATCTGAACGTTACTGCAGTGAGCTAATGGGCCATTTCCTTCTGGTCATCTTGTAGGGGCCTTTTTTGAAACTGAAGTTCCCATGCTCTCCTTTTGCTGGCAGCATTAAAGCCTATGCAGATTAAGTACAACACGTAATCTCAGTTATGACTTGAGTCTTTCCCTGCCAAGCAAACAATCTTCAAACTGCACAACAGTGGCAAGAAACTCAGGAAGCCCTTAAGCTGAGGCAAAGGACACTGTGTTTATTGGTAGCTGTGCCAGCTAACCTGAGGTGGTCTTAAAGCAACAGCCCCTTGACAGGGGCTTTAGATACTAGAAGTTTATAAAAAGTATCTGCTGCCTTGATGCTCAGCTCATCTCCAGTTGAGCTGAGCAGGTATGTTGGCAATTGCCCTCTGGATTCCTTATAACCTTCTGACTTTTCTTACCATTTCTTGTTTAAGATTTATGTCCACCTCAAAGAAGGGAGTGGTGCTGATGGGCTGGATGCTTTGAAGAACAAACCGCAGCTCCACAGTATGGTGGCCAAAAGCCTTTGTCAGAACGCCTCTGGGAAGAACTACATCATCTTCACTGGCCCAAGCATTACCAGCCTGAATCTCTTCGAAGAATTTGAGAAGCAAGGTGTGTATCGGGTGATTCACTGGGTTTTAATGATGACAGACCTAGGGGCCCTCCTGCCACTGAATTAAAAAAAAAAACCTCCCAAAAGGCTTCACTGAGATTTTAATTCCTTGTATAGATAAATTGGTCATCTCTAAGAAAAGATCTGATTCATGAAAAGGTACTATGCAGAGGACCTCCTAAGTTGCTCTTTAAATCTTCCTCTTCAAATCCTCTTAAAGTTCAAAATGAAGATGTAAAAACATTTTTAATAAGGGTATTTAAAGCCCTCTTGTTCTTTGCCTTAGAAATGTGAGGTCTAATATCCTATATGGGGGACTTTCCAAGGGATTTCCTAGCTGCCTGTGATTTTTCTGTTCCCATCGTGAAAGACACCCCAAAGAAAGATGAGATGAACCCTTAATGTTATGCCTTAGAAGTTCTTGCTGGTTTAATATCTGTTAAAGATGTGACTTCTCTAGATGACGGGTTTTGCCATTGCAAAAGCTCTAGCGTGGTTTGGTTTTTTTCTGGTATAAACATGCTTTGGCAGGACAGTTTCTAGTTTGGGAACTGTAATAAACTCTACACTGGCAAAAGCACACTTGCCAGCAGAATGTCCATTGATATGGCAGTGTGGCTCTCCCAGCCAGATTCTTGCTAGTGCAGAGAGTGATCCCAGGTCATCCTCTCTGTCAAATGCCCCATCGCCTTGGTATGGAAAAGCCTCATGTTATTTCACTTTCAGAAATGCTGAAGACTTGTGACTCCCCTTAAATTGCAGGCTCCTGCATTCTTGACAGTCATTTATAAGTAATGTAACTCTTGGCTTGTTCTTCAGTCAGCACAGCATTTCAGAAGTGGTATGGTATGTACAATAGATCCTTCGTAGCAGTAAGACTGGAGACTGCCATTACGAATGTCGTGGTTTAACCCCAGACAGAAACTAAGCACCATGCAGCCACTCGCGCACTTTCCCCCGGTGGGATGGGGGAGAGAATCAGAAGAGTAAAGTGAGAAAACTCATGGGTTGAGATAAAGACAGTTTAATAAGTAAAACAAAAGCTGTGCACGCAAGCAAAGCAGAACAAGGAATTCATTCACTGCTTCCCACCAGCAGGCAGGTGCTCAGCCATCCCCAGGAAAGCAGGGCTCTGTCATGCGTAACGGTGACTTGGGAAGACGAAATGCCATCACTCCAAACATCCCCCCCTTAATTCTTCTTCCCCCAGCTTTATATGCTGAGCATATCATACAGTGTGGAATATCCCTTTGGTCAATTGGCGTCAGCTGTCCCAGCTGTGCCCCCTCCCAGCTTCTTGTGCACCCCCAGCCTCCTCGCTGGGGGTAGCCCCATACTAGCTACTATGAAGAAAATTACCTCTATCTGAGGCAAAACCAGCACAGTGAATCAGGTAGGAGGAGGCTACAGGACCGTTTCCCTGTTCAACACACCACTGATGATGGAGTTTTGCTTTTGGCATGTTTTCTATTGCAGAAAATTAAACCCACCTGGGGGTTAATGAAACATGGCGCATAGCAGGAGGAAAGACTGGAAATTGAGACAATATCTTGATTCTAATTTAAAATGAATGAGTTGCACCAGTACTGTAGTTGAGCACTTCAGACTGCACTGTCTCTGCTGGGCCCACGCAGGCTCTAGCTCCTACATTATTTTAGGTAAGCTGGAAGCTTCAGAGTACAGTGGAATACTGCCGTATTCTCACAAGAGACTCATGGTTTCCCAAATGCTGCAAACAACCAAATGGGAAAGAAGTCAAGCATATTTGTAGTGCACTGGAGTTTTTCCTCTGAGCAGAGACTATTCTTTAGTAAATGACTCTTCACAGCTGATTATAAGCATTATATTTTTAAGACTACCAAAGCAATGATGCAAAATGTGCATTCAAAAAAATGTAGAGCATGACCCACGTATTCCTAGTACCCGAGATGTGTCAGGCTTAAATGTAAAGACTGACAGGCAAAAACTTGATTGCTGAGTCACACCCTTTATGCTGAGCTAGGAAAGGGTAAAGACAATACAGCATGACCCAGTTGGCCCATAAGCCTGGTGAAAAAGATGCATGGCTGCTAAACCAGCTGAGTGTTTATTACTTACAGATAATTCAGATTGTTCACAGGGGTGAATTATTCATGGTCTTTACACTGAACAGATCTTTCAAATTCACAGTTTCTAGCAGATAGCAAATTCAGTAATGTCTTTTTAAAGCATGTAATTTTGACTTAACTGATCAAATATGTTAATGCTTTACTGAGATTTCAGTTTGGTTTATGATTTGTTATATGGCTTCACGAGACTTTTTGTGATATTTGACAGCTGCTTCCAAAATTAAATTTCAAATCTCGTACACGCTATCACCTTCCTAGGGGTGAAGCTATGGGGTGGGTGGGAGGCAGTCAGTAAGATAGCAGGTTTATTGGCTTTGCAAAATAGCCTGGCACTCCTATATAAAGAAGATCACAGGGAGAACATGAAAGTGTTTCTGTTTAATAAGGACATGGGACTGTCTGTGTTTGCCATGAGTTACGAGGGGCTAGCTCAGAGGTTTTGCAGGGAGATGTTGAACTGGAAGGACTATGAAACACCAGGAGAGGTGAGATGCTAGAGATGTCAAGCAGTGGTGAAGTCAGCAAGAGCCCTAAAGGAGGTGGTGTTTACTGACTCTACTGCAAAGCGGCTGATGCATTGCCAGCACCTGCTGGGATCCTACTGCATTGACAGTATGTTTAGGAAGAAGTAGGCAGAGAAGCCTGGTCTTAGCAGAGATCTCTCCTTGTGTAGCACACAGTCACCCTCAGTAATGACTTTAATGTTTTTTTGGTATGTGGCTTAACCAACTAAATCTGAACAGGGCTCCATCATGACCAAGAAGTGTCATGAGAGCCTGTTGAAAAGCATCTATGCTCAGGTGCTCATGACAGTTCAAGACCCATTCTTAAACATAAATTTACTTTTCTTGTTCAAGAAAATTTAGCTTCTGGGCTAGTCAATGGTAGAAAGATCCCACTGAGAACTGAAAACAAAAAGAAATTGGTATTGATCTTAACTGCTTTACGTTGTCTGGGGTTTTTTGTGACTATCAACAGAGAAATAGGTGGAGATAAAAATAAGCTAAGGCTTAGAAACTATACATTTTTTGGCAACCTAAACTGACATTTAAGGGAGCTAAAGAAAATTCTGAAAAATCTAGAAAGAGGCACCCACTAAAAATGTATTAATTCATCTCAAAATTCTTGATGAAAAGGACCGGGGGTCTTGGTAGCCAGCAAGTTGAACATGAGTGAGCAGTGTGCCTTGGCAGCAAAGATGGTCAACACTATCCTGGGCTGTGTTAACATGAGTGTAGCCTCATCCCTGTACATCAAGGGAGGGGGTTATTGCCTCCTACTCAGCACAGTTTTGGACAACACCCCCCCAGTACAGGAAAGGCATTGATAAACTGGAGCAAGTTCAGCCAAAGGCCACCAACCTGGCCAGGGGCTGAGCCACATGCTCCGCTATGGGGAGGGAACTGTGCTTGTTCAGCCTGAGAAGAGAAGGCTTTGGGGGCATCCAACAGCAGCCTCACACTACCCTGAGGAGGTTATCGAGAGAATGGAGCTGGGTCTTCAGTGGGGCATTGTGGAAGGATGAAAAACAACAGACATAAACAAAAGAAGTTGTTCAGACTTGGTGTAAGGGTTTTCCTGAGGACAGTGGAGCAGGATGCCCAGACAGGTGGTGCAGACTCTGTCATTGGAGGTTTTCAAGCCCAGACAAGATAAAGCCCTGAGCAGCACTGTCTGACCTCTGAGCTGACCCTGCTCTGAGCAGGGGATGGGACTATAGAGACCTCCCGAGTTGCCTTCCAACCTAAATTATTGTTTAACCCATAGGATCCTGTGATCCTATGAAGACTTTTGTGGAACCTTAACTATCGTTCGCTTTTCCTAACCCGCACATGCATTACTGCAAAAACCACGGTGTTCTTCATCGAAAGTCTGCTGTGTAGCACCTTCACTGCACTACAGGAGAGAATGCGTGCCTAGTAATATAAAGGGATATCGGTGAATATAATTCTAAGTGTCTTTGAAGATACCAAGAGCTGAGAAGACCTCAGAAAATAAGATGGGACACTTTGATCTTTTTCAAAATCAAAAACCTGAATAGACTTCTTTTTTATTTTTCAGGGGACATACAAAGCATTTTTTTTTTCTCTGGCCTCTGAATAGAAGTAGAAACCTGCACTGAAATGCCCCATATTCTGCGCTCTGCGAGCAGGCAGCTGTTATTGTTATCTGCTGTGACGTTCATTCATAGTGCACCTCCCTTTTTCTACCTCTAAGCTAATGCTTAATGTCCCCTTACAGAGGACAGCACCTCCTAAAGCTCTGTGTCCCATGCTTCCCTTTAACATATGATCCACGAAGCTTCCTTTTGCACTTTCTGAAGCAACAGGAGCAGCTGGCTCTGTCCCATAGCGTGGCTGGGGTTGGCAAAGCTGCAGGAGCTGCCAGCCTGGGCAACCATGGCACTCCCACAAGCTTTGCAGGATTCTGCAACTCCAGCACATGGACTAAAGCAAGCTCTCATCTCCTCCACAACAGGCCCCTCAGTTGCCCTAGCTCTGACTCGACCCAGCATTGCATGCAGGATAAATGATTGCAGAACGTGTATTTTTGCCTGAACAAGATCAAGCCTGTCTGCCTTTGAAAATGGTACTAGTGAAGATATGATGAAACAGGCTTCAGTACAGGCTCTCCAGGACCTGGAGACCCTGGGAACGAATCTTGGGTGACCACACCACATTTCCTCATCTTTGCTAAGCTAGTTTAGGTGTATGCATTTATACTGCAGTTACAATTTGAGAAGACCAGAGGAGGACAAAGTGTCTCCATTGACTCCTATGTATATGGCAAACACCTGTTGTGATTCTGATTTAATTACACACAAAAACTTCATTGAGCCAGATGGGCATAATTTTATTGCTTCTATTGCTATAGTAACTGGGTGGTTGTAAAAAACTCTACAGATTAAGGGTGTCATCTGTGATGAGAGATGCTGGTAAATCCGCAGCAGTGTTGCACTTTGCTAGGCTATGCAGCAGGGAAGTTGCACGGTGTGATCCTGGGAGAGGAAATGGTTCCCATTATTCTGTATCAGGAATGAAACATCTGCTGGAAGCTTTCTGCAGGCTTATTGCCTGAGCTAAAGGGAAGGCTACAATTAATTATTATGGGATCTCAGAGATGGCTGTTGTTATTTTGAAGCTCTAGCATAATAATGTGGTTATTAGCTTGGTTTTATACCATTGATGTCTCCTGGAGAGAATAAGTATCACCCTTCAGTGAGTCATAAACTTCAGGCAGCTATGGAAATTCTTCTCAGGCTTGCTTGTTAGCAGAGCAAGACGATCTTAATATTGGGTAGAAGAAAGTTTGCTACGTTAATGCCAAAGTTTGCAGGTACATGACCTACAGTGTTTGTGTACCTCTTAGCGATACAAGAAATTTAAAAAAAAAAGCAAAAGCCTTCCACTGTAGGTGCTGGAGGTACAGTTCCTCCTATACTGATTGTAAGCCTGTTAACATTAGGCTTTTCTCATCTTTTGTGGAAGGAACTTACAGATTTCCAGGGATTGATTCAATCATTAGAAATAACCAATGGAGTGCCCATTTCCTCCTTCAGAATGAAGTTGCCCCATTGCTGTGTTGGTTGACCTTCTTCTGATATGAGTGTCTTAAATTTCTGATGGAAGAGCCTTAGCTCCTTGTAGACGTGCCCACAGCAACTGGACCAATTAATGAGTATTAGCAATTATTAGATTAATATTCTTGTAGTATCTGTGAGCTGTTGAGGGGATGCTCAGCATGCCAGGTACTATATGAACCATGGAAAAAGGCTGGCCCTGCACTCAAGAGCTTAGGTCATTCCAGAAAGACAGAGGCAGAAGAGCCATATAAATCGAAACCCAAGAACAGAGGTAACATGCTCAGGGGGAAGCCAAACACTGTAGTCTGACTTGGCATTTCCCCTGTAAGGATATCCAGTTATCCAGCGTGCAGAATTCAGTGCAATGAAAAAATTGATCAAGCTGGCTTAGCTCACAGATGAGCTTTAAACTATCACAGGCCTCAGCTGCCATATGAAAGGTGTGCACAGAAGTCACCTGCTTCCATGCTTGTTGTATTTTTTTCCACTCAGGTGGGTTGATGAAAAACCAAGGTAGACTGAGGAAATTTCCATCCAAGATTTCCTTGAATTCAGTTAATTTGATCAAGAAGACCAAATCTTATTTGTGCCCACCTGGCTGCATTGAGATGTGTTTTTGTCGTGTTAGATTTTATTTGTTGCCTCCTTCACATATGAAAGGCCAAGAAGCTGTGAGCAGCAGAATGTGTCACCTGTGGAGCCTCTGATGTCTGTGCAAGACGAGTGCTCATTCAACTAGGGCACTATTTGGTTTATCTCCTTTCCCTAAAATCCATTTTCATTGAACTTGTATTTCCATCTTCTCCATCCAATGCATGCTTTTTTTTTTTTTTTTTTCAAATCAACCATCTAAGATGCTATACGTTTCCCTACCTCCCTGCTCCCTCCACAGTTTATTCTTTTAGCTAAATGTAGAAGACTGTTGTGGTTTAAGCCCAGCCGGCAACCAAGCACCACCCAGCTGCTCACTCACTCCCCCGTCCCCCGTGGGATGGGGGAGAGAATCAGAAAAGTAGAAGTGAAAGCACTTGTGGGTTGAGATAAGAACGGTTTAGTAATTGAAATAAAATACAATAATAATAAATTGTAATGAAAAGGAAAATAACAAAAAAAGAGAGAGAAATAATATCCAAGAGAGGCAAGTGATGCAAATGAAAAACAATTGCTCACCACCAACAGACGGATGCCCAGCCAGTCCCTGAGCAGTGCCTCTCCAGCCAGCTTTCCCCTAGTTTATATACTGAGCATGGCGTGATATGGTATGGAATAGCCCTTCGGCCAGTTTGGGTCAGCTGTCCCGGCTGTGCCCCCTCTCAGCTTCTGGTGTATCTCCAGCCTTCTCAGTCAGCAGAGCATGAGAAGCTGAAAAGTCCTTGACTTAGTATGTACATTACTTAGCAACAAATAAAACATCACTGTGTTATCAACATTCTTCTCATACTAAATCCAAAACACAACACTATGCCAGTGACTGTGATGCAAATGAAAAACAATTGCTCACCACCAACAGACGGATGCCCAGCCAGTCCCTGAGCAGTGCCTCTCCAGCCAGCTTTCCCCTAGTTTATATACTGAGCATGGCGTGATATGGTATGGAATAGCCCTTCGGCCAGTTTGGGTCAGCTGTCCCGGCTGTGCCCCCTCTCAGCTTCTGGTGTATCTCCAGCCTTCTCAGTCAGCAGAGCATGAGAAGCTGAAAAGTCCTTGACTTAGTATGTACATTACTTAGCAACAAATAAAACATCACTGTGTTATCAACATTCTTCTCATACTAAATCCAAAACACAACACTATGCCAGTGACTGGGAAGAAAATTAACTTTATCCCAGCCAAAACCAGGACAGATTCTTTTGGACCATAAATTCTGATTTGTTCCATAATGCATATCACTGTTGTTTGGGGTTTTTTTCCAGTCCTATTTTAAATATGTTGTGAAGACTATTACACAGATTATGGATGTTATTGTTGGGAAGATGATACCCTGAATTCTTCTCCTTGTCATTTCATCATTACTGTGCAGGAGGTGTCCATATACTTCATCAAGAGAGCAGGCTTTCTGTACTTGTCTCAGTTGCCAGAGGCATTCACATAGGACACAAATCTTTGGTATTATGAGAGAAGGCCAGTTGGCTAACATATCTGTAGGACAAGCTCTTTCCC